AGGAGAATCCTATGGTCACCTTTTTATTATTTTATCTTATTTTTACTGTAACATTTCTTTAAATCTTCATGAAGTCCACGGCAGAAAATACTCAGACTTCGTGCTTGCTCTTCTCGAGGCTGCATGTCGGTAACGTTTGTTTGTAACACGGGTCTGAGCTCTCTCTTTAAAAGTAGTTCAACAGCAGCTGCAGCAGTACTTGGATCATTAATATAATCTGTGACCTGTATAAGTCATCTCAATATGGATAACTAGGCTTTTTAACATTGAGAAAAGCAAAAGGAAAGTAATTGTTTAAAAACATAAAAATAATCAAATTGGATTTAAAAAGCACTTGCTGCTCTTTCAAGGACCCAAGTTCATTTTCCAGCACCCACAACCGGCAGCTCACAACAGCCTGGAACTCTAGCTCTGGGGACTCAGATGGGCTCTTCTGGCACTGCAGTCATATACACAGAAACATACACATAAATAAATTATTAAAAATTGAAAGTCTCAGATTATAAGTTTTTAAGATAGATATATCTGTCATCAATTTCAAAATTACTTCCAAAATTTTTACATGCCCTTTATGTGATTGAACAAATTGAATATTTTAGATATGTAAACAAAGAAAATAAACCGTGATAAGAGATAGTATAAAATCGATTTGAGGTTCAAAATGATAATATTATGTAACGGAATCTTTAAATCCAGGCCTTGATATAACTGAACGGAGGATGGCTTTTTTTTCTTGATCACTTCCTACCACAACCTGAATTAGGAGCTTAAGTGAAACCTGGATTACTGGCAGCTCGTCACGTGTATGTGATGTTTGAAATCATCTCGTCCTTCCACCGCTGTTTTCACCCGACCTCTGCTTTCTGTGTTCACACACTTTTTGGTGATCATCTCCTATGTATATTTGTCCACCATGATAAAATGACACCAACTTGAATTCTGCTTGACTTCTGTGACCAGTAGCTCAGCTTCCACCTCCCCCACATACACGCCATTAACCCACATGTCTTCTACAACCAAGTGTTGGAATAGCAATGATTTCATAAACACCCAGTGGAGACCCTCACGAACCTGTAACTGGTGGACTCAATTCTTTCTTCTTCTGTTAAATGCATTACTTTATTATTAAGTTTGTATTTTACTTATATGTAATTCTTGATGAAAACTTGTTTTTCTATCATGTTTTATTTGCACTGGGGAAAAAAAATCAAAGCACATAAAGGAAATTAAAGGCAAAGGAAAGGGAAATGCCTAGTCCTTTGGTCTTCCTCATGACTCTCCCAGTGGCCCACAGACAGCCACGTGTAAAACTGTAAACACCTCTGTCGTCCTCCAGTAGTGAATATTATTGAATTTTATCAAGTTTTACACATTTCAACCCCATGCTATGAAACGCAAGACACACCCATCGCTTTTACAGTTCTTTTGTCAACTTTTGTGAGCTTTGGCTTTGCCTTTAAGTTTCTGGTAAAGATTGGCTTCCTCTAGAATTACAGCTGAAAGATTAAAGTGCTGTTTAAGCGCAGACAGACCACAATGGTAAATAGGAAAACTTGCAAAGCGGTAATCCCGCCACCCTTCCCTTGTTCCTCTTCTCCACGTGTCTGCTGTGTTGGGATTGTACATTCATGGGGATAAAGCTCTAGCTCGGGCCAAGGACTGGTCTTTCCAAGCCTCATGGACACCAACAGAGATGACGCAGGAGACACCAAGCAGTCCAGCTCTCACGTTCTCTGTCCTGGTTTCCCTACCTTCATGAAGGGTGTGTCCATCTAAGCCTCTGGGTTCACAGCCCTGTCTGTCTGAATCTCTGGTACTCCAGCGAGGGATTTCAAGTAGGGCACCTATGCAGAGGACAAGACTTGGCCTTTTGGGGAACTCATTTCAATCCCTGCAGGAGGTCAAAACAAAACCTATTTCATCCTGTCCTTTGCTCCTGTTCACGTCAGTCACGTAGAAAACCCCAAACCCCACGTTCTCTTTCCTTCTTTTAGTTTTTATGAATCTTATCTTTGTGCATCTCTAACCCTTTACTGTTCCTCTAGACTCCAGTTTCTGAACGTTATCCCCACAGGCCATGTCTTCTGGAACACACACGCCCTCACCACCAAAAATCCCCTCACATACCCACACTCTTTAATGGACACATTCTTTACTACTCTGCTGTCCTGTTAGTTTTTTGTTAACTTGACACAAACTAGTCACCTGGGAAGACTGAACCTCAGCTGAAGAATTGCTTCCACCTGACTGGTCAGTGGGCATGCCTATGGGGCACTGTTTTGATTGATGATTGATGTGGGAGGGCCCAGCCCACTGTGGGTGGCACCATCCCTAGGCTGGTGGGTCTAGGTTGTATAAGAAAGGAAGATGGGTAATCCAGTGGAAGCAGGCTCCATGGTGCCTGCATTAGGTTCCTGACTTCAGTCCCTGGTTCCTGCCTTGGCTCCCTCAGTGATGGACTACAACCTGTAAGCCAGATAAACCCTTTCCTCCCCAAGTTGCTTTTGGTCAGAGTGTTTCATTACAGCAACAGAAAGCAGACTAAGACATATACCCTGAACACAGTCAGCTTTCCTGGAATTCTGCACAGCAGTCACTGGTCACTTCCTCTTACAACCTTGTGTGCAGGTAAAGTTCTTGTTCTTCATTCCAGTTTCTAGATCATTCTTAACCCACTCACCCCCAAGCAAAGGCATCTCCAAATTTCATGTCAACAGACTTCCAAATATCCCTCACAGTGTCAGTCCCACCAACCCCAAGGCCTAACTCTTTGCCCCAATGCTTTTACTTCTGCTTTCCTGTTTCCACAACAGCCCTGTCTTGAGTCTTGTTATTTGTAACACACATAGGCATACTGTCTCAAACTCTAAAATTTACCTTTAATTCCCCCAAACCTGTTCTATTGTCTATCTCATCTCTGATGCTTTCTTAAAAATAAAGATTTATTGTTTTAATTATGGGGGGGGATATGTGCACTTGAGTGTAGATACCTGTGGAAGACAGTGGCATCAGATCTCCCTGGACTTGGGGTTACAGGCAGTTGTGAGCTGACAGTGTGAGTATTAGGAAATGAACTTGTGTCTTCTGCAGGGGCAGAATGTGCTCTTAACTGCTGAGCCATCACTCCTGCCTCCCGATGCTTTCTTTTAATAAGACATACTCAATTGTTCAGGAAATCGTAACAGCCTGGAAAATGCCTACAGAGAGCCATTCGGTTAAGTGTTCTGTTTCCTCTTTGGTATAGTTTTGGTATAAACTATGTCCTTGCTTGACTTTCTGTTGCTGTGATAAAGCACTAACCAAAACCAACTTGGGGATAAAGGGTTTATTTCAGTTTAGAAATCCTAGGTCACAACCTATCACTAAGGGAAGTCGGGCCAGAACTCAAGGCAGAAAGCTGGGGGCAGGAACTGAAGTAGAAACCATGGAAGAATGCTACTTACTGACTTGCTTCCCTTGACTTGTTTGGTCAGTTATATTTCTTATGCAGCCTAGGCCCCCCCTGCCTAAGGATGGTACCACCCACAGTGGGCTGGGCCCTGGCATCAACTAGCAATTAAGAAAATGAATCATGGACATGGCACAGGCAAATCTGATGTAGAAAACTGTAATTGAGGTTCCCTTTTCCCAGGTGACTCTACTTGGTGTCATGTTGACAACAACATCTAACCAGTATAAACTGTACCTCAATCACTCATGTGCTAAAGGCTTGGTCCCTGGCATGGTGTTGCTGGAAGGTGGTGGAAGCTTTAGGAGGTGGAGTCTAAAGGGAGGAAGTTAGGTGAGTGGTGGTGAGCCTTTTAAGGAGATATTGGGCCCTGGACACCCCATCTGTCTCTCTAGCTTAGCTTCCCAGTCAGGGTGAGGTGAATACTTCCTGCCCATCTGCTTCCCCATGTTGTATGACATGAACACAGGCCCAGAGTAACAGGGCCAAGAGACATGGACAAAGTAAGAAATCTGAAACTGTGAACAAAATAAAGCTCTCCTCTTTGGTTGCAGATTTATCTCAGATATTAGTTACAGTACTGGCAAGCTGACTGACAGACTGTCTGTCTGTCACCTCAGTTCCCCACCTACACTCTCGTTCCTCCAAACAGCATGTGCTGTTGTATCTGTGCTATGAACTAACCTGTAGATGGTCTCAGTCTCTTCCACCATGCATAAACAGCCACAGCATATTACACCCACCTCCCACCTTTCCCTTCTTTATCTTCCTCATCGCTGGGGATTTAAGCCATTTTTATATTACTGACGTTCATTATGAAGGAAGACAGTAAAGAGTGTACAGAAATGTGTTTGTTGATCTTACTGTCTTGGACTAGAGCTCTACAACAAGAGAAAGGCCTGGTGTTCCTCCAAAGTCTTTCCACTCTTTATCGGTTACAAAATAAAACGACGTGATTTTGTTTCCAACGTGAACTTTGAATTGTATTAATCTGTTTATAGCAAAATTCACGCTTGAAAAGTTTTTAAATTTTTTTCACTTATTTGGGAGGGAGGGCATGTTTGCCATAGCCTATGACTGGAGGTCAGAGGGTAACTGTGGCAAGTCCATCCTCTCTTTCCACCATGCTGGTCCCAGGGATCGAACTTACCTCGCTAGTCTTGGTGACAAGCACCCTTTTCCACTGAGCAGCTAGCCAGTCCCTTTAAGTTTTACCCGAAGAGGATTTCAAAAATGAGTATTTATGCTTTAATTGAAGACACAATGAATGGAATAAACACTGGTCTAAAGAGGCCTCTAGTACATGAGGAAGTAGATTTTGAGAATGTCTGACACTACACAGGGTCATTATTTATTTATTTTTATCTTACTATTATTCTTTACTGTGCCTGGGGATTGAACCCAGGGCCTTGTACATGTTTGACAAGCACTGTACCACTGAGCTATAACCCCAGCCCTACAAGAAGCCTTTAAAGGACTGGCATTTTCAAATATTTGTTTTGAAGAAAGCGCTTCATCATCAGCTTTAAATTTATGGAAAAAGTTCAAACAATCTTTGCTACATGACTTTTAATAACCTCATTACATTTGTCAGTACTGTGAACAAAACTTGCAAATTTATGAAATGAAAGACAGGACCAAACACAAGAGATGAAGTATTAATGAGTGATCTGATTTTGAAAGAGCCATGTCTAGAATGTATAAGGGGGGATAACAATTCCTAAACAGAAAACAATACAGGCGATTTTTACATGGAAGGGGATACATTTGAACAAATTATGTCGGCATCGCATAACCAGGATGAAAATTATCATCTCTAAATAACTCCAGCATCAAAACATAATCCAATGGAATTAAAGAGTGTTTGATAATGGGAAAATTTTAAAGGTAGCTGGGAAATACATAGGAGTGAGTTAAATATGAAAATGCTATTTGAACACAAAAATGAAGGCAGCTTCAAAATTCTGTGAAGGGGTTAACATCAAAACCTCTTTGCCTAGGCAAATCTTAAGTGCTATCCTAATACTTCAGACATGCTGTCAGTAAATATTTTATATCATGAGTTGAAACAATTATTGAAGCTCTTAAAGATAAGAAAAAATTACCTATAGTACCTCTAATGATTCAACACAATTAAAATATACAGTGTGTTCGACTCTGGCAGGTCAGTAGAAAAAGTCACTATAGCTTTGTTTTCAATTCTTCACTGTTCTCCACCTTAGAATTTCTGATTGCATCCTTGAATTCATTTTCCTTCTCTGTAAGTTTTGTCTCTACAAACTCGGTTTCTGGAGAGGTGACTTCCCCAGGTAGGTGGCGCTTCCTTATGAGAATCAGAATCAAGAAGGCCGGAAGAAAGCTTGCTCCTCGGAGTGCTGCCGGCAGCCCAAGGTAAATGCGCCTATCGAAACAAAATTTATCCACATTAAATCTTACACAATGTATGGAGTACAAGCTAATTCTATGTATCCCGTATAGTTTAAGGAAAACGGAAGCTATTTTGCACCTGCATTTTATATAATCTACTTTGCTAGGTTCTTAATTTCACTGTACATCAAACTGTCTAAAAATTTCCATCATAGAAGTTTAATTGTGATTTCTTCATTTCTGTGATGGTTCATGTTTATTGTCAGCTCGATTGGATTTAGAATCAATATGGGGAAATACTTCTGGTTGTGCCTTTGAGGATGTTTCCAGAAAGGTTTAACTGAGGTTGAAGACCCGCCCTGGATATGGACCAGCACCATCCCATGGGATAGAGTCCCAGCCTCAATATAATGGAGATGGTAAGCTGGACACCAGCATTCATTGTTTCCTGACAAGGTATGCAGTGTGACCAGCTGCCTCATGCTCCTGCCACCATGCCTTCTCTGCTATGGTGGGCTATACCCATCAATACCACACCAAAATAAGCCCTTTATTAGGTTAAGGAAGCCCATTCTGTTCTGTTCTGTTCTGTTCGGTTCGGTTCTGTTGTTCTGTTCTGTTTGCTCAAAGTTTTAACCACACATGTCTAAAACATCACCAAGTCGATTCTCTGTAGAAAGCATTCAAGATTTTCCATCTTAGTGAATATTTATAAGCTGTATTATACCAAGAGATTTTTCTGATGTTGAACCATTCTTGTCTAAAATAAGTCCTATTTGTCACTTTTATATATTGATAGATTCCATTTGTTAATTTTCATGTATAAGTCTTGCATGTATAGTGCTAAAGTTATCTCATAATTTTTTCTTTTGCTAAACTTCTCCAATTTAAGCATGAAAATTGTACAACCTTCAGGAAATGAATTAGGTAACCTCCCTTTCACCATTTCTCAGAATCACTTGTATAGTATTGAAACCATCAGTTCTTTGTAAACACGCCTTAGCCAGGGTGTGGCAGCACACAACTTTAATCCCAGCACTTGGGAGGCTGAGGCAGGCAGATCTCTGTGAGTTCAAGGCCAGCCTGGTCTACATAGTGAGCTCCAGGACAGCTGGGGCTACAGGGAGACCCTGTCTCAAAAAGACCAAAAAAAAAAAAAAAAAAAACCAAAAAACAAAAAACAAAACTACGCCTTAAACGTCTGAATTTGGTGTGTGTGTGTGTGTGTGTGTGTGTGTGTGTGTGTGTGAAATAAGTGTTTTTGACAGATTAACATTTCCAATTAGCTATGAAAAGCTATGAAATATTCTATATATTTATAGTAACATTTGGTGTGATGGTCAGGGTTAACTGTCAACTTGACACCATCTAGACTCACCTGGGAAAAAGATCTCAAGGAGGGATTGTTTAGATTATGCTGACGAAGGGGCAAGTCCGTGGGGGTTTGTCTTTATTACATTAACTAAGGGGGGAAGACTCACCCACTCCTAGAGAGGTGATCCTGAACTATATAGGAACGGAGAGAGCGAACTGAGCACTGACATGCATGCATTAACCCACTGGTCTCTGCTCTCAACTGTGCAGATAATGTGACCAGCTGCTTTAAGGCCTGCCCACTTGCCAGACCCACAGTGATGGACTGTGAGACAAATAACCCTTTCTTCTGGTTTTTGTCAGAGTATTTTATTACAGCAACAAGAAACTAAGTAAAGATATTCATCAATCAATTATTCATCTAGAAAATCTCAGTTATATTTCCAAGTTGTTATCAAAAATCTCTAAGCATTCCTTTCTTGGTAATGTTTAATTTTGCCTCCTCAGTTAGCATTTTGAGATGATTATTTTTATGTTTTCACCTTTCAAAAATAACATTTTATTTATATTTTTGCTGCTCATTTTCATCTTTCTGGTTTTAAATTTTTTGTTATGAACCATTTCGAGACTACAGAAGCTAAACAAGAACAGTGGCTGGATTTAAGGTCCCCTTTAATCCACTGGGATCTATAGTTAACTAATTCCATTTGCAGAGACTCTATTCCCAAATAAAGTCATACTCTGAAATTCTTGGAAAACGTGACTTTTTGAGGGATTCAACTCAGTACAAAGAATTACCTGTCATTTGAATTCAACATTAAATCTCATCTGATCTCTCAATTCATTGGAAGCATTTTATCTTCTTTTTGGAAGCTGATATCCCAGAAATCACTACCCATCTCTCTACTTAACACCTCTGCATTTAACCTTTAAATTCAATTATGTTTATTCCTTTATATTTGCATTGAATTTCTAGTTTAGAAAATATTGTCTTTAAACAATGTGCACCTCTGGGATTTGAAAAACATATCTTATTTTAATGTGAGGTAGTTAATGCTTCAAATGGGTTGCAAGAAAATCTGTCCAGCATTTGCCACAGGAAATACATAATCTCATACTCCTCAACAGACAAAACTGCCTTCTGCCTTAAAGGGAGACAACATTGGGGTTTTACAAGGTCATTTGCTCTTACAACATCTCTGAAAAGATCTGACTCTGTCTCTGCTGATAAGACAGACAGAAATCTGAGGAAGCCATGGAGAATTGTCTACTGATAATATCAACTCTTTTCTATGCTATCTAAGTCTTTGAGAAACTTTTTCATGAATACATCACTGCATTGGCTCCTCTAACAGAGGACGAAATCGAACCCCTTTCACGTGTCTCGGCAAACATTTATTTAAGGATACTATAAACAGGAATATTAGCAATAGGGGGAGACCAGCATGCAGCAGTACAGGTGGGCTTTTCACAGTGGTGAAAACCCATGGCAAACATAGCATGTATCTAGGCCCGCCTCCGCCCGACCCCTGGGGAACACCGAGGAAAAGGGACATGCGTACAAGACAAATCGCAAATTGTGTGTTCCTCACAGTCACTGGCATATATCTGTTTCTATCTCATATGATTTCTGCTTTCACCATGAAGATTTTAGAATGTCTTAAACAATGTTCAATTGGTTTTTGGTAAATGGAATCTTTTTCTCCCGTCAGAAGTTAATACATTGTTAAAACAAAGATACATTTAGTCCAAATGAAAGAGAAGACCAAAATGACTTTGTCAGAGCTGTATTAACAGAAATAAGACATTGGCTACGTGTGGAATTTGTTGAGGGGAAACAAACTCTGTTTTTGACATCAGAGGTGCTTGGTAAGAAGTGAAGTCTCAGGTTACCTAGATACCAAAGAGTGGCAATCCTCTTTGGATAGACAGCTCCCTACATGCAGCTGCTGGCTTCAGTAATGTATTTGTTACTAACGATTTAACAGATATTTTTGTATCTATCTTTAAACTTTGAAATTACATTTCTATTGTGTGTGGGAGTATTGTATTGTGTGGCTATATGCACCCACAGCATGCGTGTGGAGGTCAGAGGACAGCTTGCTGGAGTAGGTCCTCTCCTTCCACCCTTACCTCCCTGGGAGGGAGGCCTTGGGAACTGTGGGCCCTGGGAATTGAACTCAAGTCATCAGACTGGGTGACAGGTACCTTTACCCACTGGTCCATCTCACTAGCCTCGTATCTGTTTTTTAACACATTCGTTTTACAGATTAATGGTATTCACTGACATTTCTATATCTGGATATAGTGTGCATGGGGCATATCCACCTCTCCTACCACCCTAACCTCCCTGCTCCACCTGGGGTGCTCTTACTAGTTTTCCCACACCATTCTAATTTCAGATCAATTCTGCGTGTGTGTGTGTGTGTGTGTGTGTGTGTGTACATGGTCCTGTGTGTTCACACAAAAATATGCGGGTATATATGCACATATGTATGTGCAAGCCAAAGGCCAACTTTGGAAGGTCTTCCTCAGTCACTTTCCATCTTATTTTTTGAGACGGGGCCTCACACTAAACCTGGAGCTCACTGGTTCAACTCAACTACTTGGCCAGAGAGTTCTGAGATCTACCTGTCTCTCTCTCCCCAGTGCTAGGATTACAGATGCACACCACCACACCCAGCTTTTTAATGATTCCTGGGGATTCAAACTCAGGTCTGCATGCATGTACAGCAACCAATTCACCTACCAAATCATCTCCTCAGCCCTTTATTGTTTACATACATGAGAGGGAGTAAAAAGAATATCTTTCTGTCTCTAGCTTATTTCACTTAACATGATGTCCTCCTGTTCCATCTTTTTTTTTTTTTTTTTTTTTTTAAAATGATTCTACTCATTCTTCTCTTTGGAAAAATATAACTCCATTGCATATTTACTGTGCAACACACACATCATTATCCATTCATATGCTGCTGGGCACCTATGCAGACGAGATGCCTCAGCTACTATGAGCATTGTTATGATATACATGTAAAGGTTTCTCTTTATGGGTGCAGACTTCATTTCTTCTAGATCTAGACTCAAGAGCAGGATCCCTGGCTCATATGTAGGTCTACATTCAGTTTGTGAGGAACCAGTTTTCCCTGTTAGATGCACTAATTTACCTTCCCTCCAGCAGTATGAATGAGTTCTTTTTGCTCCATGCTGTGGCTGACATTTACTTAAGTTAATGATGTCCTTTCTAGTTAGAGTGAGATAGTATCTGATTATAGTTTTGATTTGAATCAGTGATAGCTAATGATATTGAGGATTTTTGACATATTTATTGATCATTTGTATATCTACTGAGAAGTGTCTATTCAAATCATTTAATCATTTTTTATTGGATTCCATTTTGTAGTTTAGTGTTGCATTCTTTTTTTAAGTATTTTATGTATTATTTTTATTTTATGTGTATGAGTGTATTGCCTGCATGTACGTGAGTGCACCTGTGTTGTGCAATGCCACAGAGGTCAGAAGAGGGCTTCAGATTGCCCTGGAACTGGAGTTAAGGACGGTTCATAGCTTCCATGTGGGTGCTGGGAATTGAACCCGGGTCCTCTGCAAGAGCAGTCAGTGCTCTTAAGGGCTGAGTCATCTCTCCAGCCCCGTAGTGTTGCATTCTTTACATATTCTAGATCTTAACCACCTGTCAGATGAAAAACTGGGAAGTATTTCCTC